CTGAATCTGCTGCTATTCTTAACACTTTCATTGTCCATCGACTGAACCTCATTCTTTTCACTATCCATCTGTGATGAAAGATGGCCCTATTGCAGCAAGCACCGAGAGGGCTTACAAAGGGCCTGGCTTGACCAGTATTTGAACCTGTGCCCACTAGCTATTTGAACCATTCGGCTATTAGTCGCCTTATGTTTGCTGTTTAGATCTAAATTATTTAAAATGTATGCAATATTAGGAATTTTTGATGTTGAATATACCAAAATTAAGATGAAATCCAGAGTCCTAATTTTTTTTTTCTTAAAAGTAAATCAAGTAAATATTAATTAAGACGACGGCACTAATCACAGCTATTGCAAAGATGAGTAAGTTATTCATTTTGACATATTCAACAAATAATAAATTGAATTCTACATAGGAAAAACTGTGTAAAAAGTTAATTATACTATAAAATGAATAATTTCTAATATACATATTATTTTGAAATCGTGCATGAACACAATGAAAATACATAAAATGTAAAACAATGAAATATTACTAATAACATTTATTGCAACAACCATCAAATCACATAAAACAAATACATTATATTATAGTTATTTTTACGTAGTTGCTATTTGCTTATATATTAGAACAAAAGACTTTGCTCCTTGAGAATTCACAGTATGTAGAATATAAAACGTTTTTAATTTAAGAAATAATTTGTGAAAACAAGAGTTTTTTTTAAACATAATATTTCCATTGTGAAAAATTAATAAAAACCTAAAAAAATATCAAAGAAACTTACTGAATTTATTATAATCACTGATTCCGGAAAATGGTTTAATAAATTAAAAAAATTGTAGGTGGCCAATATTAATGTAAAAAACGGATTGATTTTTTTTTTAAATAAATCAGAATTTTAAATTAGAAAAAAAGTGTACAATAAATGCAACTAACCTAAATCCTGTACAGGAATAGAACGAGCACTTCGCTTAACGAGCAAAATGAATTGTACGAAAAATGACTCGCTTAACGAGCAACGTATCGCATAACGAGTGACGATGAGAAGATAAGTCCCGGATTGCGCGCCTGTTACATCATTTTTAAAACATTTGTACACATATTATTGTATTTTTGAATATATTTCACTATACGAGTAAAAATCCCGAAATTTTGGAAAGGGTTAAACTCGTTAAGCGAGGTTCCACTGTATAATCCTTTGAATTGTGTTTCTCATATTGTTATCATTATTTTTCGGATCATAAGACATTTTTTTAGTTAAATTAATAAATAAATATGTTTTTATATAATATTCATATTGTTTCTTATATGTGAGTGTTAGTTCGAAAATAGGGAAAATTCCATGCAAATACTTTTCACGAAAGATGATCATTTTACTTTGCAAGTTCTTAACGGATCAATTTCTTTCTCGCAGTAACTTTTTGATGCATATCGAATAATGTAACGGACCTTAAGACGCATTTTTTACGAAAACAAATTAGAATTGTGCTATTATATAATAATTTATTGTTTTATATCAAATATTATGTTATACGAAAAATATGGTAAATTTCAATCGAATACTAAGGTTTTGTTGAAAGATGAAAGTTTTTTCTTTCCATGGTTACAATTCATTTTCGTTGACTTAGAATTGTGGTTTTATATAATAATATATATATTGTCTCAGATATTTGAGGTGCGTCTGGTGCGTGTTTCCATGCAAAAAATAAAGTTTTCTGAAAGATGAATGTTTTTTCTTTCCAAGTTCTCAACGGATCAATGTCTTTGTCGCATTTTCGTTTCGGTACTTATTGATCGCGTGGCAATTGAAAATGATGCCGGAATGCCGATTGGTTTACATAAGCAGAATTCGTGGCTCGCCGTTCAATTCATACCAATTCATTTTAATAAATTGGTCCGTAAGTCAAACGCGCTGCGTGCCTTGCGAGTCTTCTCCGTCCGTGCTCGTGCGTGCGCGTTTCACTTTGTTTCCCCTCAACCATCTGCGCACATGTATGTATACATACATACTGGTACATTCGTATGTATACATCTGTATGTGTGTGTGTGTAACTGTGTGAATATAAATATAAACAGCGCACTCGCACGAAATAATAAAAGTTCGCTGCTTATGTAATTTGCTGCATCGGACAAACTAATTGCGTTCAATTATTTATTTATTTACATGACAAGGCACGTGAAGTGTTCCTTCTTTTTTTATATTATTATTTTCTTGCAGAGTCAAGCGTGCAGCATGCGAATGCGACGTGCATCCAGATGCATTATCCGCGCGCGGTTTCCGCCTACCCTTTGATTCATGGCCGAGGAAAACATTCGAAGATGCGGAAGAAGTTCGTTAAGAGTTTGCTGTACGCAGGTATCTAGGAAATTAATTAGCAGGTATTTGCTTAATGTCGTGATAGGGGGGACGAACCGCACAGGAAATTGAAAGTTGTCATCGTGGAAACATCAACTTGCGAGCATGAAAAGGATGAGGTTAAAAAGAACATAATGGATTTGCTTAATCTCGTGATTGGGAGGATGAACCTTGTAGGAAATTAGAATTTGTTGTCGTGGAGTATCATCTTACACAAGTAAGAAAAGGATGAGGTATAAAAGGAATCGATTCTACACTATTTGAAATCGCACTAATCAAGGACTTTAAAAACACATAAAAATAAACAGACCAAAAAGAGACTTGATTGATATTTTTTTGTAGTAATTGTTTAGAATTTACTTTTATTTTGTTCAATTAAAATTAAGTTTGTTTTGAAATTTTAAAACCGAACTATAGCAAAACCGCATTGATTGAAACCACATTACATGAGTTATTTTTGTATTTGCTTGAGGTCATGTTTGGAAAATGAATAACAAGTAAGAAAAGGATGAGGTAGAAATGGAAAAACAAAAGGAAAATCATGAACAGAATTACCTCGAATAGTGCGAGTAATCTGCATTGTTTAAAATCACACTAATCGAGGACTTTTAAGGCCACATAATTGCAATTTTAAAACCGAACTATAGCAAAACCGCACTGCGCGAGTTATTGCTGTATTTTCTTAAGGTCATGATTGGAAAATAAATAAGATGATTGTATTGTAATTCCGATTTTAACAAAAGTTCCGTTTCCCGCGGATTTTTTAATAGCTACCGTATTTTAGAAAGAATATCCTCATTTCCTTACAGCAAAAAATTACAAGTATGCGCATAAACATAATTTACAACTTATTCAATTATATCTTAAATTATGCGTTAAACCCAAACTTTTCAAAAAAAAAATCACACATAAAATGCGGGAAATATAAATTTGTTCATAGTTTTAATATTGTTCATACAATTATAAGTTTGCAGGTGTTAAAAGGCTCTTTTGTTTGAATATATTTGCTTTTCTCATAAGAAAATTTAGTTTTTTTGTTCTTTCATTCACATTCTACTTAACTACTCAACACTGTGTATCTGAGACACGACGAATCAAAGTTGATTTGAACGTTTCAATAATATTTATTGGACCACGAAAAGAAGGTGTTCGAAACACAAGATAAGAATGTAATAAAAAAGTAGTTGTATCTGCGAATCATATTGCCGAACGCCAAAAGAGGGATCGTCAACATATGCCTTTTTTCTTTATTAACAATTCTATTGGTTCTATAGTTCGGGTCGGCCAACCATTGGTGACTCATCACAAAACTTTTTTTTGTTAACAGATAAAATTTTCTTGTATCCAAATTTTAACCAATTGAAAAAGAAATTTATTTAAGAAGTAATTAAAAAAATAACTATGTAAAATAATTCATTAATTTTTAAATAGAAAAAAACATTTGGAGCATATCGTGAATATTACACGTAACTTGATAAATTTTTTATAAAAATAAGAATACATTCTAATTGTCAAGTACTTAATAAGAATAATAAATTATTTCTTGTATTTATATACAAATAGTACAGAAAAAAAACTACAAATAATTGAATGAGCACAAGTCAGTTTTTGTCCCAATTTTGTCGAAAATTAAAATCTAGTCGTTTTAAGGATGATCCTTATTGGAATTTGTTCTCTTGGAACATAATCTTTACATGAAACATGAGCAAGGAAAAAGAAGGCAAAGGAAATAATTGAGTTGATTTATGTTCTGATTTTCCAATCAGGAATTTCGTTGAATATTTAAACTTGTCGTCATATAATGCGTACAAGAAAAAGTTATTTAGACATGAAAGAATGAAATGAAACTATGAAAGATTCGCTTCCTTTTGGCCTTGAAATTAACGTATTGTTATTGCTTACTGTAAATAAATGGATTATCATTATTTGCTTGACGTCGTGATTGGCGGACGTAGCTCATGTAAAATTGTAATATGTCGTCATAGAATATCATCATCTTCGCATGATATATGAGCAGAAGTAAGAAGTGGTAGAAGGAAGAGTGAAAAAAGAAGAGAAGTTACGTCGAAGGCTAGCTAAACTGTCCTGTCTACGAATAACGACTGCATAATTTAAATACATTACGGATGGCGTGTTTGGATATGCGGTTATTGCTTATATTTACATATCATCAATCAGATTAATTAAATCGTACAAAACGACGGAATCATCGGTTAGTTCTAATTACAAGGGAGCCAGACCTCATTTGTGTTACTTTACATCGTAGACATGCAAGATCAACAAGATATTCCCTACTGAAATTTATAAAATTTTATTAATTACATTAAGTGAATATACTACAGTCAAATCTTATTGATATTTTTTCGATTAATAACAATACCTTAAATTAGTCCGGATTCACTATAGATTTTGTTTCCTGCTATATCAAGTCAATTATCTTATTGTAGTGTTTATTTATTTATTTTTTCATTTACTTCCTCAATTAGTCCGGTTTCAAACAGTCCGAGGTATTAGATAAACTTTTTACACGCACTATGTAAGGTAATGCCTTTTATAAATAAATAAAAACATATATAATCACATAAACCGTGACTTTACTTCCTAAAATTGGTAGAATTTTGTTAAATAATAATTATTTTTTTACCGTGTTATTCGAGACTCCGTGTAACTCAAGTACCGTGTTGTTTGAGTGTTACCTGTAAATTAAGAAATTGCTACAATCAAATTTGTTTTAAAATAAAATATCAAATCATAAAATTAAACAACAAACTCATTAATTTTGTCAACAAAGTGATTATCTTAGAATAATAAAAAATAATCATTTAATGTCTCAACTAAATTATACAATTTATAGACTTTGAACTTAATCATTGCAGCACATTCCATTGAAAAAAAAAACGAATTAGCAATACGCATACTTATCAAAGTTTAATAATTTGATGACTGTTGTTGAATAATCGAAGCGTTTAATGACACTCTTTGTAGTATGCAAAATAAAATAAACAAATTATGCAATTAACAAATTATAATTACTTAAATAATTCATATGCTGAGAAATGTTGTAAATAGATTTAAATAAGTGCAATTATTATACTAATAAGAATTAAGAAAGTGTACCAAAGAAAGTAAGACATTTATTAGAGAATTAAGATGAAATATCAATTTATACCATAAAATATTTTAACAATTTATTACATAAACTAATATTTTGTAAACAAATATATATTTTTTAGAAGAATTTAACTTTTATAATGTTAAACTAAAAAAATAAGACTGAGAATAGATACTTGAGGTACTCGTTACATATAAATAGAATTACGTATTTGAAACCAAATGGATTGAAAAACTATATTCATCTTTATATACTGGTGAACAGAAATATTGGTGATATTGTAAGCACGAAGTAAGTTGGGTGGAAAAAGGAAATGCTAGAGACATTCATCATTTCCATCCACGGATCGGTTTCGGTTTCAAAATATTTTGACTTTAAATAGAGTTGGGTTGAAATAAAAATGCGCGTTCAAAATTGAACACGTGTTTGGTTGGCGGCAGTGGCGAGGCTCCAGTATAATTACGCCGCTGCCAAAAGGAGGATAAGAAGAAGGACGACAAAAGCTACCGAGAGGACAAACCGATGACATCTTTGTGACCAGAAGCCGAGAATGAAGCCGAGAGTTTAATTTATCGCGGAATGCGACGAAACCGAACAAAACCTCCTCCCAAACTTAACATATTTTCGTTTACGAAGAGACATTACGTCTGCTGAAGACGACGTGATCAATGTTTTCGATTTAGTTTTTCGTCATGTTTTAATGTTCCCAATGTTTCTATTGGAATTCATCTGCAACATATGTAGTAGTCGAAAAAACATTTACTGTTGTGAGGTGTTCAAGATTTGTCAACTTTAAACAAAGTCTTGGAAAGTTTGATCTAATTTAAATTATTACAAATATAATTGTTTATTTACTTAATGCTTATATTAAAAACCTATATACCAATATTCGTTTCTAAAATAATTTTAAGGAATTATATGTTTAATTTAAAAAGTTTCAAAGTAAAAGATTTTCTAAATATTAGTAAAACTTCATTCAGAAAATTAGGAAGAATTATTAATTTCTGAAATCAAGTTCAAACTAAAGATGCGTTAAAATTAAACGTTTCCTTCAACAACAAAAAATCGATTTAGAAGACTTTCTGAATATTAATAAAACTTCATGTATGAAATTAGGTTTAAACTAAAGAAGTGTTAGACAGTTGACATTTCCTTAAATACATTTGTAAAACTTCGTTGAATACATAAGATAAGGAAAAACTAAAGAAGTGATATGAAGAAATGTCTTCTTTTGAAAAGATTTGATGTTAAAGTTTCTTAAATTTTTATAAAAATATTGTTGTTTTATTATTAATAAAACTTAATTCAAGAAAAAGAAAAAAAATCTATTAATTACTAAAATTAAGATAAAACCAAAGAAGAATTAGACATATAATGTCATTAAGTAAAAATGAAAAAAAAAATAGTAATTTTTAAAAGAAATTTAAAACTAAGAAGTGATAGGAAATAATTGATTGTTTGGAAGAGGTTTGAAGTTAAAGATTTTCTAAAGTTAATAAAACTCAATTCAAGAATATTGGAATAGCAATTCATTTCTAAAATTAAGTTAAAACTGAAGAAGTGTAAACAGTGCACTTTTCCATTAAAAAAAGTTCAAGTTGAATATCGTTAAAACTTCATTCAGTAATAAATAAAATTGTCTCTATGTTTTGAAATTAAGTAAAGAACTGATGGAAATAAACGGTTTAAAATTAAAGATTTTCTAAATATTAAGAAAACTTAATTAAAACAAGATATAGGAGAAACTATTCATTGCTGAAGTAAAATTAGAACTAAAGAATCGATAGGAAAAAAAGATATGTTTGACGTGAAATATTTTCTGAATATTAAGAAATATTATTTCAGGAAAAATTAAAGAACTATTTAATAACTTTAAATCAATATAAAAAATAATGTCTTATCATTGAAAATTTTTAGAATTATTTGTTTTAATATTAATAACAAACATACAATTCAGGTAATAACTAAAAATTTCATAAAATAAAGTTAAGGATAAGAAGCAGTAGACATTATAGAATCAAGTTAGAAAAAGTTAGAAATTTACATTATTTTGTATACAGTGGAACCTCGCTTAACGAGCATTTCGTTTAACGAGCAAAATGAATTATAAGAAAAATGACTCGCTTAACGAGCGACGTTTCGCATAACGAGTGATGATGAGAAGGGACCTTTCTTCTGCGCGCCTGCCACATCATATTATGTGTAGTTTTGAATATGTTTCACTAAACGAGTAAAAATCCGGAAATTTTGGAACGGATTAAACTCGTTAAGGGAGGTTCCACTGTATAACAAAAGTTAAACAATGTTTTTCATGATATTAGAATGTGACTTTTGTTAACTTAATAATACATGCAAAACTTAAATTTACATATGTTTATATGTACACATACACACATGTATATATGTATACATATACACATTTTGGGAAATCGTCAATTGTAATTGAAAATCATCTAACAAGTAGAGACAAAAAATGAACATCTTTCCTTTTATTATTCTCTCTCTTTTATTTATAAAAAAATAATGCATTTAAAATATAATGAGTAAATATTTTTGTATCTTTATGTATTAATTTTTATTGTCCTAATTTAGTCGAAAGTTTATCCGCCGACTTATTAAATATTTTGAAAACTAACAACAAATAATAACACCGTAAATCTAAAGAATTCATTAAATACATTTACGACCCAACTACTGGAATAATTCACTTGAATGACATTGATCCTGTTTCGCATCAGTAAGATTAAACGTTTAACGTTTCGTTTACATTATTTACTCAAAGCAATCGGGTGTTTATCAAATCCGCATGACGCAACACCACTTCTTACATCTGCTAAACCATTGTTAAGTAAATACCGGTGTTTTTCTGTTGGTCTAGGTTCTTTTCTCTATACATTAATAGTTCTATTATTTTCTAAATGAATCAGTTATGACGTGCGTACGTTAGAGTAAAAAGTACCGCACGTCGCTATTGTTTACATATTGGGTTTCCATACCGTTTATTTGCGTTTCTAATTAACGTCTCCGCAAATCCAAGAATTAATTATCATCGCATAGTTACGTCACGCGTGCATGTACATCGCCGTCTGTATTTACTCTGCATAAAATGCTAATATCATTTATTTAAACAATAGTGAACTGCGTTACACGCATGCAATTTCATCATGCTTGTTTAATTCACTATTTCGTTCATTCTAGTAGGATTTCTTATTGCAACACTTTACGCTCAAATAAACACAGTCGTGAATATTTTATGAGTTACATAATAAAAGGAAATACAACAAATAGTATTAATAATCAAATAATAAGAGAATTATTGCAAATTATCCTTGCCTTTTAAATAAAAGTTAATATTGTTAACCTTAATCTGATAATCCAAAAGAGAAATTATAAAATTTAATAGCATTGAATAACACGTTTCTATTAGTAAAGCTTAGTTAATCAAATAAAACATGGTAATTTTTGTAATAGTAATTTTTTACTCTACTTTAAAATTAAAATGATCAAACAACTTCTGTAGAATTATTATGTATAAATAAATTTACAAAATTCAATAATTTCAAGTAACTTAAGAAAGAAAGTAACAGATTTGTTAGTATTGAAATCATTACAATTTTTTTTAGAAATAAATACAGCATATACCTCGCAAAGTGCGGATAATCAGACTAAACGAAGAACTAAATACCATACAAAAATAAACTAATTTTTAAGACTTTTTTCAATTTTGCTCAAATTTTGTTTCCACACTGATCGACGTAGCATTATTCTCTATTTAATTTGATTATAGATTTACTGCATATTTAAAACAAAAAGTTTTCCTAAACATTTTGATTTGACTTTTCTTTCTTTAATCAATACCATTTTTTTCTTTCTTCAAAAATCTTGTATTTCTCAATAATTGAAACAACATTTTTTCTAAGATTTGTAGAATATTTTCCTCCATATTACTATAAAAACCATTTCCGTTAAAAGAAATGATAAATTGTATAGAAATCAGGAAAATCTGTTTACATTTTACTCAAGAATTTCAACATTTTGAAAACAATAAATTATGAATAACAAAAATGAGCAATTTTCCAGGATTTTATTCATCAAGATTTATGGACGCAAATCCCGGTAATTACGTACTTGGATCTATTTTTAATTGAATATATGTAGAAGTTATATCAATATTAAATCTTAGTACTTTATGATTTAATATTGGTATAAGTATTAGAAAATAAATAAATTATGTATATAGAACAAAGTGCAGCTTCGATCTATCCGGTTTCACTATAGTACGGTTTTAAACAAAATTTTAAATTAGCAAAATATAAATTCTAATACATTTTTTACTCATAAATTGTCGATTTTTCTTCTATAAAGTCAATCTCTTTTTGTGCGGTTATAAAGTCCTCGATTAGTCCGATTTTCAGAAGTTCGAATATGTCTCCGAACGCATACAAAATAAAAATACAAACGGAAATAAGAGAAAAGAGAGCAAAAGTTTGGAAATCGTAGAGTTGCAAAGTGGAAGGCGATATTGGAATTACCCGCAATATGCGAGGTATGTCTATACTAATATATTTAAATGAATGCTACATT